ACGAGCATCAGGGTCATCTCAGGCAGGTCTTGGAAAAGCTGAGGGAAGCTAACTTCAAGATCAATGCAAAGAAGTGCGATTGGGCGAAGACCCAAGTTTTGTATTTAGGCCACGTCTTAGACGGAGATGGCGTTAAGCCAGAGGATAGCAAGATCGCAGCGATTAGAGATTGGCCCACGCCACGTACGCTGACAGAGTTGCGCTCGTTCYTGGGCTTAGCAAATTACTATAGGAAGTTCGTGAGGAACTTCTCCACCATCGCTGCGCCCCTTCGCAGATTGCTAAGAAAAGAGACAATCTGGAAGTGGGACAAGGACTGCACGTCTGCCATGAAGAAGCTAAAGCAGGCATTGATAGAGTACGCGGTCCTTAAGGTCGCCGATCCGTCCTTGCCTTTTGTCGTTACTACGGATGCTAGCCAGTACGGCGTAGGCGCAGTGTTGCAGCAAGACGATGGCACTGGGTATAGACCCGTAGAGTTCATGTCCGCCAGAATGCCTTCAGAGAAGGTCGCGACATCTACCTATGAGAGGGAACTCAACGCTCTCAGGCAAGCGTTAGACCACTGGAAGCACTGCTTGCTTGGGAGGCACTTCAAAGCCTATTCTGACCATGAAACGTTACGATGGTTAAAGACGCAGGCCAAGATGACACCTAAGCTTACTAGGTGGGCCGCCGAGATTGATCAGTACGACTTCGAGCTCAAGCCTGTCAAGGGGAAGTACAACGTAGTTGCGGATGCTCTGAGTAGGAGGGCAAATTACTTCGGGGCGATAGTGCATTACCTCGATATAGGGAAAGACCTGCAGCAAGAGGTTAGAGAGGCCTATGCAYAGGACCCTATCTATARTRACCTCCTTAAGAAAGTCAAAGAGGCCCCAGAGACTGAGCCGAATTACCGCACTACTGAAGGATTGCTATTTGAGAATACTAATGTCTTTGACCGGTTGTGCATCCCCAATAGCGAAAAGATCCGTAGTCTGATCTTGGGAGAATGCCACGACACAGAGGGTCATTTTGGTTGGCAAAAGACCTTAGCCAATCTGATGCGCGCGTATACCTGGCYAGGGATGAAGAATGACTGCGTAGAGTATGTTCGCAGTTGTAAGGTCTGCCAGCGAAACAAGTCTTCTATGCGTGCCCCGTTAGGTCTTCTCAGACCCTTGCCCATTCCGGATCAGCCGGGAGACTCAGTGTCAATAGATTTCATGGACACTCAAKTCAAAAGCAGGCATGGCAAGAGCCAAGTCATGGTCATAGTTGACCGCTTTAGCAAGTACGCAGTTTTTATTCCTTTGCCTTCTGAGGCGCGTACTGATTTAGTCATACAGAGGTTCTTTGACTGTTGCGTTAGTGAGAATGGAATCCCGCTGTCTATAGTTAGCGATAGAGATAGTCGCTTTACCAGCCAGAACTGGCAAGAACTCATGGGAGTATATGGATCTAAGTTGTTGATGTCGTCCGACCGCCATCCAGAGACTAACGGTCAGACAGAGCAAATGAACAAAATCCTACAGCAAGTTCTGCGCATGTACATTAGGCCAGATCAGATTAACTGGGATGAGATGTTACCTAAGGTAGCTAGTGCATATAATAACAGTGTGCATCTGTCCACCTGCCGCACTCCCAACGAACTGCACGTCTTTTAGGCCCCGTAGACCATTTGAAGGACTTAGCCGGGATCAGATTCACAGATTGCCACCCGGGACCAGGGAGTTTGCTGTGCAACACGAAAAAGAACTAGCTACTGTAGTAGAAAACCTCAGAAAGGCCCAGCAAAGGATGATAGAGCAAACCAATAAGCATCGTCGCCCCTCGCAGTTTCAAGTAGGCGACTTAGTCTGGGTCAGTTCTAAGGAGTTTACACCTGAGGAGAACATCTCGCAGAAGTTACTACCCACCTATAGAGGACCGTGGCCAGTCCTAGAAGTTAAAGGCGGCGAAGATGGACCGTCCTACACCATAGAACTCCCAGCACACCTCCACACGTATCCAGTTTTCCACGCATCCAAGTTGTTACCATGTCAAACGAGCGATCAGTTTCCATCCCGTAGGTCCAKGATCCCACCAGATATGGATGGAAGATACGACATTGATGGMATAGTGGCTGAAGATGTATTCAGGACTGGAGGTAGGGGTCGTCCACAGAAACAGTACAA